CTCGCGCTAGGGGGTCCTGGCTGCCCAGCCAATCTGGATTCGCTGGGCATAAGGGATCCCTACCGCTAAATCCGCTAAACATAAGGGATGCCTAGACGCTGCGCCGCTGCGCTTAGGGACTCCTTATGCCCAGCGAATCCAGATTGGCTGGGCAGCCAGGATCCCCTAGCGCTAGGGATCCCACGCGCCAGCCCAGTCAATCCGGTCTGGGTGGGCAGCGTTCTCAAAGTTTGGTGGGTCATATCTAAGAGCCTTATCTATTTAGCTTTACGCCCTGCCGTATAGTGGTTGTCGCCGTATAACCGTTGCCACTGTATAGCCGTTGCCACCGTATAACGGTTGCCACCGTATAACCGTTGCCTCAGGTATTTAGAAAGGTCATCAACTTTCACTTTCTTTAGCTTCAAAAACCAGTTACCATCCACTGCCACAGGATCTCGCTCTGGGAGCTGGCCAAGCAAACCAGCCTTCTCATCACCTTCTTGCGCTTCAGCACCTTCAGCACCTTCCTTCTGGCGCTTCAGCTGTTTCTTCCGCCTGAATCATTGGTGTTTTGCATGCAAACTGAATAATGACTCACGTGATCACACACTCAAATGATCAATTTGGCAAACCAACCATTCCCTGCCTCTGCTTTCTTTGTTGGTTTGCTGCTTGGCGAATGTGGGGTGGCGCTTCACCTTTCATTCTCCGCACCCTCTTCTCATGCCAGTTCCTCAGATTGGAAACTGGAAACTTAAAAAAGTGTTTTGGTTTGAAAGTGGTCAATCATCAGCCATTTGAAAATGTGATTGTTTGACTCAATGCTTCTTGGTTTGACTCAACACTTCTTAGTTTACACCGCCAAGTTTCACCCCCACACTGCCAGATGTAGGGCTTTTGGGCGCTGGAGTAACTACACAACCGTCCAACTCGGACAGGTCACTCACAACCTGCTTGATATCCAAGTCCACCTCCATGTCAAGGCACTTCAACCAAACATCCTCCTCAGTGGTGGAATTCAACCAAGCAGTAGCAGTCAATCAATCAAAACCAGACAAAATCAGGCAATCAAAGCCAAACAAAAGCAAACATTCAAAACCAAACAACATCAACCTATCAAACATCAATCTAAACCAATCAAACATCAAGCAACATCAATCAATCAAAAGTCAATAAGCACCAATCAAAATTATATAGCCAATTCTATCAAAATAATCAACAATAAACATCAATTCGTGCCACATCAGTCAACATCCGTCAACACCAAAAAACAGTATCCAAGTCTCGAGACCCGGAAGTTTGGACCACTTTTTGTTTGTGGCTTCCGGAATACGGTCCCACGCAGCTGTGTTGGGGAAGCATAATGAGTGCTCCATGCATTCCCACATGATGCACCCCAGTGCAAAGATGTCTGCTCGCTGGTCGCAAGGTGTCTGACCAGAAAGCCTGCAGAAGTTAGGGAACCAAAGAAAACAAATAAGTAAATGTACGTTGCCAAAAACCATAGTCTTTGTTGAAAATCATAGGGAAGTTGTCCAAGTGTGAGTCATTGACAAATATTGACAAGGTGCACTGAGTTTGGCTGGTAGTTCGGTGTGCCGGCAAACAAGTCAACAACTTGTTCTTGAGCAATTCGCTGAGCATCTTTGCAAAGCCCAAAGTCAGCCAATTTTGCGTCTCCGTGAGGTCCAGTGAGTAAGGTATTCTCTGACTTCACGTCCCTGTGCGCCAACTTCTTGGTGTCGTGGATGTAGTGGAGCGCAGAAGCCAACTGACTCATCCACTTCAAACATTCTGTTGTATGCACACCTATCGACGATGTAAATATGCGTTCCCATAGACTGCCGCCGGGCATCAAAGCCATGTCAATGACCAATGTGTTCTGGATTTTGGTCAGGCCGAAGAATTGCACGATGTGTGGATGCCGCATCATTCGAAGATGTTTGGCTTCCTCTCTGACCTCGTCCAGAGCCGCGTCGTCAATGGAATTTGCAGCCTTCTGCATCTTCAAAACGTGCAAAGACCCATCTGTGGCTTTTGCTCTGACTGTAATACCGAATCCGCCTTCGCCGAGGTATGACAGACTCTTGAAGCCAGCTTCACGCGCAAGTCGTGCGAAGGTGCTCGGAATCTTGGCATCCTCATTCTCACCAATAACCTCCATCGCGCCGCGGCCCACGGATAATTTATTATCCTGATTTAAAATCAGTCATCGTTCTCCAAAACTGTTTTGCTCAAGATTGCTTTGTGCGTATTCTTGACTGATAAGCCATTCAGTGCAATGGCAATGATGGTAAACATAAAAATATTATTCGTCGCGCCCTTCCATATTAACATGCTTGCGCATCCTTCGCACCGCATCAACGAGGAGCTGGTCGGCTAAGAGCACTAAAAGGGCAACAAACAAAAGAGCGTTTAATCACCGCCTCCAAACGACGACAAATCGTAGCAAAGCTTTGACACTTTTTGGCATGGTTGGAACTCGTTTGTTAAACAGTTTGAATTGCTTGAAACGATTGAATGAGCCTTATTAGGAGCAACTTCAAACCCTGCCAGCCCTGCACACTCAAGTGGCTGGGCTGGCTGGGTTTGCTTCAAGTTGAGCCCTGCCAGCCCTGAAACACAAAGTGACTGGGCTGGCTGGGTTTGCTTCAAGTTGGGCCCTGCCAGCCCTGAAACACAAAGTGACTGGGCTGGCTGGGCCTATATTGTAATGGACTAAATGACAGGTCTTCTGGTAACTGAAGTTGTGTTTATGAAGAATGACTTGAAATGTTCGTTTGAACTGTCAGTTCAAGTCAGTTCGCAGCGCAGCTTTTTCACCCTGGCGCCCCCCGCCGTTAGACTATAGGCAAAATTTGCCCATACCGTGAGACTGTTTTTCTGATTTTTGAAGCAAAGTCAAGTCAAAAAGCTGCTCTTTGTGTACCAGCCATTCCCAGTTCGACCCTGAGCTGAGATTCCAAGCTTGTACGCAGCGTCTTTCGCTCGGCCCGATGTTTTGCATGTGTCAATCACTGCATTCGCCAGCTCAGCATGGTTCTCCTTGAAGCTCTGGCTGACATGGATCACCTTGGAGCAGACCTTCGGAGCACCATAGTCAACGATCAAACCACTCACCTTGCCTGGCTGTAAGGCAGCAAATTCAACAATTGTCCTGCCACCCAGCATTGCATACCAAGTGGTTCGTTGTCCAGGATTTAGCCCGTCCACCACCAAGTAAACATGGGCATCCCTCCGATTTTCAACCACGGTTGCGTTGCATTCCATCAACAGCTTGCCAGCCTCATCTCTATCCACGCCCGGTCCCACATGGCAGGCTTTGCCAGCCAGACTCAAACTTTTAGCGGCTAGCGAATTGAGGTCGACTCTCCTGAAGCTTACGGTGCTTGATGAGTTTGTCGTCATTCTTGGCATCATTTTTCTTTTGCTTCTCCAAGTCGGCATCGAGGGAAGCGTCGGCCTCAACTTCATGCTGCAAAAGAAGACCATCCTGGTAGGATTCCATCTTTCTTTTTCTTTCTTTGTCAGCCTGCAATTGAGACTCCTTCATGGCCGTCAGTCCAGAAATCACCTTCATCAAGGACAACTGCATCAGGCATCACCGCCCGCCCGTCATTTGAAGAGCTCACTGCCTGCGCTACCAGGACGCCTGAGTGCCTGTCTCCCCCGGTCGTCGAACCCCCTTGTCAAAGCGTGATTGGCATCGCGATCGGCAGACTCCTGCAAACATTCATTGGTTGTTGCAAGTTTGACAAGATTTGACAAGTGTCAAACAGAGTTCCACAAAGTCCTGGTGCACACTGGCTGAAGATGATGGCGGCCCTCTTGCATACATCCGATTTGTCCTCGTCGCAATGGCTAAATATTTCATGTTAAATCAGTCAAACAGTAGTCCGAAGTTTTTGAAAGTTTCAAAAACTGATCCAACAAATTGTTTCGTTGTGTTGAAGTTCACAAATGAAATTCAAGCAAACTGAATAACTATTCATCTCCTGGTTGGACAGCTTAGCCAAACCGATGCGGATGAGAAGGTTCTCGGTGTTCTCGCTGGACTGACCGCGTGCAGTGAGCTCCAATCTCTTAGCCTTCGAAAAGTTTTGCTCCACTCAGAAACTGCTAGCTTGCCAAGCTAGAACACGGAACATTGCCTGGCAAATATCCTTCCCAAGATATGTTTCTTTCAGGTTTTGCTTGGACTGTGCATGGCTCAGCGCAAAGGTCCACGCTTCACGGGCGCTACAGCCTGTGTTGACCTGATGCTGCACAGCCAAGGGCTTGAGTCTCCCAACCTGCTCTTTCAAAGCGTCGGCGTCAAGCTCAAAAAACTGTGCAATCCGCTGGAAACCTTAGACGAAAGGTCAGTCAAAAGCAATATTACATATTATTATACCATTGATACTTGTGTAGTGAAACTTGTACGGAAAAATTCGGGACTTCAAAATTACACGCAGCAAAGGAACTCTCAAGGGCGTCTCCCTCTTGCATTGCAGCTGCTGAGCCCCCACGTTTGCCAAGTGCAAACACGCCGAACGATGCAAAGATGTTGTAACAGGGAAATTCTGTTTGGACGACTTGGAGAGAAAGCTTGACCCAAGCCCTCATACGACCCAAGCACCGTTGCAGAACAGCGTCCGATGGTGGCCGCACCCTTCTGGCCCCCTACAAAAACAATGAGCTCATCATTTCTCAACACGTTCAAGATGTGCTGAGTATAGCCTGGGGTTGTCAAAACCTTGGACTCATTGAACAAAGCGTGTATTCGCTGAGTGAAATTGGCAACGTAGGTCCCAATCATGGTTGAATCTACTTCTTCGTCGCCCACCATTCGAACCAACAGCAGCCCTTCGTCAGCTGCGTCTGCAATGAGGGCAGTTTGAAGGATTTCCTCACTGGACCTGGGCTAACGCAAAGACAACCCTTTAAAATTTACAGTGAAGATATATTCATCTCCATCATACATGCAAAGCAGTATGCAAAACCCTTAATCACATGCAAGCGACAGCTGCTCAAGCCAGGCACGGATTTCTCGGCCAGTATCGGTGTCCTTTCTCTCGGCAACGATCTTGGTTGCTGTCGCCAAAATGGATGGAAACCATAGCATAGCCCTTCCAGTGGGCGTTGCTAGGGTTTCAAATCTGTGTTTGGCTGCGCGAAGGCTCTTGACGCCTTTGCCAAGCGACATGGTGGCATCCTGTTTCTCGGTGAAAGCTTCAAACCAAGAAGCAAACAAGGGAGAGTGGAAGATTCGCTGGACAATTGACTGCTTGGACAGCACGATCGACTGCGCGCAGGACTCAAGATAATCATCTGCACGAAATGGCCTGGGCAAGATCCTTAGCGTAAAACAAAGCGCAAAAGCTTCAAACACTTCCTTGAAATAGATCAGACGATCAAGACAAATGGAAGATAGCATTGACCGAAGAATCTAAAGTAAAAACTTGATGAACTGCTTGATGACCCAACACATCACAAATTCTTTACTCAGAACCGAAAATAATGTGCTAAATAGGGCCAAAAGATCATTCGGAGCGAGTGGGGAGCATCACGGGCAGTCAACTTCATGTTTGGGAAAAGTGGAGTGGCTAAATCGCTTTCCACCTCAGGGTTGCGTCGCCCCCTTCCAACGTCCCCAGCCACAAGTTCATTTTCAGCAGCGTCTGTAGTGATCAACTCTGTCTTGTCCATAATATGTTTCATCAAGCCTGCATCAAGGGTTGCTTCTGGACCACAATACCATCGAGGTGGCTTGTCATTGGGGGTGCAAAGGCGCTTCAAGGCCTCACGCGTTGCACCAACCACTTGCCCAGCCCTGTCACCACTGTCCTTGATCAGGCCAACGACGCCCATATCCGTCTGAAACTTTGAGTCAACGCAAGCAAATCGGACTAAAAGCCGATTATGCCTGGCATCCCGAGCCAAAGAAATGGTCTCAGCGTGTGACAAAGCCTGGCGGTCGCGCTCTGCCAAGGCCTCTTTCAGTGTCCATGCCATGAGTTGAACTTTGTCACTGGAAGAGCTGTGACCATTACATTTTCGAAGTGACTGTCCATCTCCAATATTCTTCAGCAACTCTTCAAAGTCTTTCACGGGAGGACACCCTGGAATTTCTTCTTTCCCCACACCCAGAAAGGAAAGCGCTGCCTGCTCATGTGTCTTGGACTGACTATGCCGAATAATCGACCATCGAACTTTTTTGAAACTACTTGTCAAAGGCACCCGTCCCTTTCCCCACAACGAGCCCAGGTTTGCTTTGGAGCAAGCAAGGCACTGAAGATGCACACCTGTGTTATCTTCCAGTGCTATCAACCAACTAGTTTTGAGTTGGTGCATTTGAGATGCATCAAGCTTGTCCTTGTCAATGCTGTTGATGCCACACTTCATCGTTGCTTCTTCTCGTAGACATCCCTTGTGGTTTTTCCAAAACTGGATCAGGCTGACTTCTTCATTCTTCTCCGGCTTCTCCTTCACTAGCCTCATCCATTTAGAAAAGCAATCCCCAAAAACAACAACAAAACAACTTAAAAACAATCAACCAAACCCTCCAAAACCCACCACCCTCCACAACAAACAACAAACACTAAATCAAACACTGAGTGACTTCGATTTCTCTCCCGTCTTTGGATTGACATCCAACGTTTTCCGAGGAGGAGTGATGAGCTCGTCGTCTTCGCTGCAAGAAAGTCCAAGATCCATCTTAATTAAATTCAAGAGCAATCAGCCAGCTAAAATTCAAGAAATCTTTGCATGAGGAAACTGAAAACAGTAAGCATCTCGACGAATACTAATTTGATTTGTAGTTTTAAATATTCCTACAGTCTACTTAGTACTGTGAATATCTGTAAATTTTGAGGACTTGATATGTTTGTTCATCTTCGTCGTGGCCATGCTCTTACCCCATGCCCCATGCTGAGTAGTGGCAGCAACCACCATCAATCAAGCAAATCAAACGCAGGATCTGACTGACTCAAGCATGTGCCATGTCAGGAAACAGAAGCAATCAACAGCCTGATGCACAAATGCCGTTTCTGATCCCTTCAATATGAAGCAAGGTTCAGTGCGAATCGTTCCATTTTCACTCAGCCAATCCAGAAAACATTCGTGAGGATATTTCCATACAACGCCTTCGCGTTGACAGCGACAATTCTCTCAAGCAACTAAAGCTTCACAACGTCCATGCCCAGAGCTATGTAGTAACATGTAGTAGACAAACCACGCGTGCTGCAAAGAGCTGCTCGAAATGCTAGTGTCTCATGTCCAGAAAGTGAAGATGCCCCGCTCGAAAATCCTGCCTACAGAATCGCCTTCAAATGTACATTGCCAGGGATCTCAACTTCAGAATGGGGCGCCTTGCCACCGAAAGCCCCAACAAACCATCTCCTTGTCAATGCCAGGCATGGCAAGCGAAAAAGACCGGGTTTAGAATTTGATGATACAGCTGCGGGCAGGAGACGTGACAACAAACGAGCACAGAGCACAGCCGTGTGGGCTCGCCCAGCAGCCCTGCTTGGTGTCAAACTGGACTGCTTGGGCTACTCCACAAACAATTGAAAAACCGGTTTGTTAAGTGGACTGGCCCGGCTACTAAAAAGTATGAAAAATGACGTTGAATTGGCACTTCTTAAAATCAATAAATCCCAAGATCAATTTTGTCTTCGCATTTCAAGTTTTGTTTTAAAAAATACATGTTTTAGAATAACTGTCTTTCAAAAATTAGTTTAAAACAAGTACATCGATATATACTAATGTTTCCAATATTTATAAATGTTAACGTATTTTCATGTTGATTTTTGATTTCTCAAACCTTGAACCAGGGACAACCAGGACAACAGCTATACACCAGCAAGTAAAAAGGTCAGGGATGTGCGGTGATGTGAGCATGGCGTGTTTTTGGTCGGCGTGTGATGACCTTTTTACCTTCCAGAGCGGAGGGCTCGAGATCTGAGCTGAAAGGACGCGAGCCCGCCGGCGGGCGGTGGGCCGGGGCGGCCCGGGGTTTTCTCCATTGCTGGAGACCGCTTTCAGCAAACATATGAACATGATAACACACATTTCAAAATACACAACATTTATATCCTTGAGGGCTGACCATATTAGTTAATGAACTAGGTTGCGTTGCCATCACTACCCATATTCAAAGCCGACAGTTGAGGACAAAAATGCCACACCACTCCAACCCACACGCAGACTTATCCCCAAAGACTGGACTCACATTACAAAATCAGAAAATCCAAGGTGAAGCAGATTTTTGTCCATTGGGGCTGACCATGTCCGATGACACTCACCACTTGCAAGTGGTGCATCTGGACAAAAGTCAACACCATTCCACATGCAACCACCCCACACCCAGATTTAGATCCAAAGACTCGACTCACATCACAATTGGTGACAACCTGATGTGACAGAAATTTTGTCCTTTGGGGCAGACCATTTTCACTGAAATGTTTGTTCCAGGGTGACTCCTCCTCTGGAAAACTATTCTCCACTATGCCATACACAACCCCCCCCAGCCAGACTCATCCCCAAAGACTCGACTCACACCACAAAGTCAGAAAATCTAAGGTGAAACTATTTTTGTCCATTAGGGTTGACCATGTCCAATGACATTAAGTTTTGTGCAAGGATAATTTGTGGACAAATATCCGCACTGCTAGGGGTAGGCTTGTGATGAATGCCTGTAGTGCCCCCCCCAAAAGGGTCACATGTTTTTTTAAAATAAGGGGATCATTTTTTAGTAGGTGTTCGTGCCACAGTTACTTCACGCAGCATTCCGCATCAGTTCGCCGTCTCTTCTTACTGCACGTGGAAATTGTTTTTGAGGGGGGTGAGGGGACAGGAGAAAAATGTCACTAATAGAAAATTGTCTCTCCATGTTCCTGGAGGTAGGGGGTTAGGACTTAATTTACAGGTCATTGCACTCTGTCTTGTATCTTCATGGCTTACTGTGTGGTGATGTTCAGGGGTTAGCAGCATTGGATAAAAATTCCCACTCAGAAATAATTTCCAGTGTGAGGGACCCCTTTGCAGTCCACAAGGGGAATCATATATATATATATACAGTATACATATTTTGCGGCTAATATGCTTTTGATTGATGAAGCAGGAGGGGCAAGGCAAGTTTGGAAGTGCATGATGGGACCAGGTCCGTGACGAGAAGATCCGAGAGCAGCAGCTGCTAGACTTGGCTGTGCAGGCCGAGGGCAAGCTTGCGCACAAGGTAGAGTGGAAATACAACACAAACGCAAACAGGTCAGTCACTGTGAGGTTCCGTGGCCCATTAGCATGCAAAATCTGCGTGGCGGGTCTGAAAGGCTTTTGAATTGTTTCGAGGCCAGGCAGACCCGAGCTGCACTTGCAGCTGCGTGGATGGCTTACCTGCACTGCTTTGTGCCTTAGGCAAACTTTTGTTTTGCCTTGCGAAGGCCAGCTAGAGATGGAGAGAGTGTTGAAGATGCAGAAGACAGACGACAGCGCATGAAGGCCTACAATGTCTCACAAGTAGAGACGCTGCAAGTCTACATTGCAGGGCAACGCTTATCCTTGGATCCCAGGTGTTGAAAGAAAGGGAGCGCCAGATAGAGCGAGATCACCGTTTGGAGCTAGGCATAGAGAGAAAGTTGGAACAGTTGATTTTGCCTTGGACGATTTTTTCAACAATCTTGTGCCATCTTCTTGATCTGTATGAGTCCAGGCAAGAGGAACATGCGCAGGAAGGAGGAAGATCGAGATATTTCAGAGCGCATTGCTCTTGGCCAGGAGTGCACTTGAACTCTCACAAATCCCGCAACTCAATGATCTCAGGAGACAGTGCAAGTCACTCGGAGCCTTGTGTTTCAAAGAGTTCTGCAGGTAGCGCAACCCAGAAGCTCAGAGGTCATGTTTGATCAGCGACTCTTCAACCAATCTGCGGGCATGGCCACGCCCTTGAGAGTTGCATTTTTTCACAAGGTGAAAAGGTTGAATTGAATACTTTTCGCTAGAGTAGCTGCTAGAGTAGTTACTTTGAGGACAGTTGCCTTTCCAGTGCTGTCTATGACACGCCGCTTTTCGCAGATCGAAGAAGGGAACCCAGAAGTGTTGATTCAGGCTTTCCGTGCATCTTTGATGCCTTGCATCAGTTGTATTTTTGGGTCATTAAGCTGCTAGCTGGACTGAACGGTCAGAAAGTCCAAGTCTTCCAAGGGCTGGCAAACGTCTATGGTGGTCCCAGGGTCACGCCATGCCGTCCAACTTTGACATTTAAGTTGATTTTTGTTTCAAATTCAAGTGAGCGACAACTGGATAGTTGCCTTTCCTTGCACAATCTCATGAAGTATGCCTTCAGACGGAGTTAATGCCAGGACAAGAAGTGCACCTTTGGAGTTTGAAACCGATGATGAGGCCATAAGACACGCTCAAACATGCTCAAACAAGGTCAATGGCATTGTCTCCAGTATGGCGTAGTTTGGTCATTTGAGGAACTGTGACAAGATGAAGGTGAGGAGCTTGCATTGTTTGGTGTTGGAGAGCTGAATGCTAAATACGGACTATTGAGTTTCCTAGCGATGCCGACATTGTTTTGGTCAAGATTCTCGATGCTACTTCCCCACCCCACTAGCATCGACTAGCAGACCATGTTCGAGAGAGGGCGGTGCCTGGCACAGGTGGCAAGGAAAGGGAGACGCAGCGGTTTGGACATGAAACATGAGGGGCCAAGTCTGGTCAGGTGATAGGTTCAGTGTGACAAAAATGCGCGAACAAGGGGACACCTGAATACCCCAGCAAAGCACCAAAGAAGGTAAAGTAAAGGGGCAAAGGGACTACAATGAATGCCCATGGCTGCGAGTCAAGCAAGTAGCTAAATGCAAGTCCTAAAACGGCAACATCTAAAGGATCATCTATACAAGCTAAGGAGACGTCAGCATTGTGCAAGATTGACCCCCAATACACTCGGTCAAAACATGTCACAACCCAAGAATAAGATCAATGCCTTGGAGGCGTTGAATTTGGCAAAGTCGAAGGCGCTCTGTCCAGTCACAAGGCAACCGCTCAATGAGGTTGTGATACCCCATAGCAAGTCCATTTTTCCTTGACACACACACATCAAGGCCACGTGTCATCTTTGGCTCCTGCGGTCCCGATTTGTAGATGAACAACTGGTCCAGTGGCACCTGCCAAGAGGCCAAGAGGAGCGCCATTTGCTTTGTTTGCAGCCTTTCGTGATGGCGTCCACCAGGGGAGGTTTCAGCACTGCCAAACTCACGGAGCGCAGGGTCGGGCCTCAATCTACTGGGAGGCGTTGCACTTGACTGCTAAACAAACAACCCCCAGCAATTGATGGTCCACACTGGCCACGCGAATACCGCGGCTGATCCACATAGCTGTGGTAGGACGCGGTAAGAAGAAGTAACTTTCTTCCTCCTGAAGTAGTCACATTATCGAAATTAAGCCTCAACGCCACAACCAAGATTACCACCACAAAGACATATCCCAGACGCGCCCACCCTGCCCGCAATTTGAGTAGCAAAGCTTCTCCTGGCAAACTGTCTGGCAAGATGGGTTCAAAGGTTTTGCTGTGAAGATTGGTGTCAAGAAGTTGGGGATCAAGAGGACTGGGATGTAGAGATGCCCAACAAAAAGAGCTCAAACCTTTGAAGGGTTGAAACAGTTTTACGATGAAGGTTTATTGGCCTATTGATTCAGGACGCCCCCGAGAAAGTAGTAGTAGTCGTGTCCCCCCCCTCGAACTAGAAAAAGTAGTAGTAGTCGTGGCCACCCCCCCCATCCTCAAACCCTGCTTAAAGAAGGATCCTGTGCTACGAGTGCCTTGAAGAAGGCTCCTGTGCTACGAGGACCTTAAAGAAAGATCCTGTGCTACCCCGAGAAAGTAGTAGTAGTCGTGGCCCCCCCCC